CAGCCTGCATAGACCCTTAAGTAACCAAGAACTTAGACTATTGAAGTCAAGTGACTAAACTAGTACATTTTGAATGCCAACATAGACGTGTATCGTTATCAAAATATTGATAGGAGAGCGGTAGGAATTTATTTTTGTTGCACAGACTCATTCAAAGGATATTGGTCGACACGCGCGATTTTCGAACGGGAAGTTTAGTCCTAACGTGATTTGCATATATCAAACTTTTGCTGTGTTCTTACGCAACAAAAGTACCATTTCAGTTCTAAAAAATCTATCCTGAGCTATACGTTCGGTAGATTACTTTTTTTTTGAGTTTCACTATATTTAATAGTTACCTGTGGTTTTGCCTCAGCTTACTATTCGGTTTTTTTTGTTTTTCACGTATAGACTAGTTTCAGTTTATATCACTCGTTTTGTCCGTTTTTGTCCTTTTTCAGTGTGCATTTTAGTGTTTTTTTTAAAAAGGTCTTAAGCTTTTGCCAGCATCTATAACATAGTTTGCTTCAACACCGTCATGAAAAACTCATGCAAACGTCCGGGATGCCGTTTTGCTGTCACAACTGGCATGCAGTGTGACAACTGCAAAGGTTGGTTTCACGAAGCATGCACAAATCTGACAGCAACTGCTTACAACAAACTCAGCAAGTCAGACCAAAAGTGGGTATGTGTCACGTGCAACACGGACGCAGTAGTCTTGCTGAGTAACATCATTGTCCTACTGACAGGTCTTCGAAACAAGCTGTCAGTTAATTTGGAATACGACAGTAAAAAAACCGATATACAAACAAGAGCGCGCAACGGACTCAAAAATAGGGATGTCGATAGGTATGTCATCGATGGAGCATCCATCAACACTAACGACGACGTGTCGAGGCTCAGTACCATCATTACGTCGACGGTACTAGACTCCCTAGGCAAACTCGGGTCTCCCAGCTCAGGGTCGCTGAACACAACAGTGGTTCCCAAAAACCCTGCAGGCGATTCGACCCACGTTAAGAGAGCCCAAAAGAACCAGGCATCACCGCCTAAGCCGAGCAACCCAAGTGTTGCTGCACGGAAAATAACTGGTGATTTAGTCGCACAGTCTACCCCCAAGACTGTTCGTCCGGTCAATAAAGAGCCCAAGATTCATAAACGCACACTGACCTCCAAAAAACAAGTTATTAAACCTGAACCCATCGTGAAACCTGGTAAATTAACAACAGTTCGTGACGATTCTCTCATTATCATGAACCTCGTCGACAATCCTGACCTTCCTCTCAGTCTGCAGGATAAAAACGACAGGATGCTGTGGGGTGAATTGAACAAAAAGCTCGAACTTCCTAGAATAGAGCCTTTGACGGTCACCCGGCTCACTCGAGGAAAGGATTCTAAGCATCTAAATCACCCGAGGCTTCTCCGAGTAACACTTAAGAATGCTACCGACGTAGAGGACGTCTTGCTAGCAAGTCACTTACTGAAATCAGATGGTAACGTAAGAATATTGCCCGACATACCGTACTTTGAGCGCAATATCATACGAAACGTCCCTAAAGAATCTCGCGAGAAGTTCTTCCGCGGAAGAAATATAATTGTCCAAGGTATACCGGAAAATGCAGACCCTACTCAATCAAATTCTGACATCAGGGAATGGAAATTCATCAAACAGTCCTTGAGGCTCAAACACATACTGACTCAGCATGTGACGAGACTAGCCAAGAAGGACGGTGATCTTAGACCCCGTCTAATGAAGATAACCTTCCCATCTTCCCACATGGCGGCTGCAGTTCTGGAAGCATTTCGTGCTAATAGACGTCGATTGCCACCTGGAATCCACATGCACCCGGATAGGCCATACGAAGTCAGGACCAAGAACAAAGGCAAGCTGGAGCTGACCATTCCACTTGTGGACTGTCTAAACGATAAAAAAACGTGTAAAGGACAGGGCCTACCACCTCGGCAAACCTCATATAGGTGGGCTACCTGTCCATTCACATAAGGTTCATACAGAAAAACAGGACGAAGCTCATGCGTTCCAAATTGAAAGCATAAACTGCTTATATATGAACGCCGCGAGTTTACCAAACAAACTGGATGAACTACGTGAACTTAGCAACGCTAACAAGGCCCATCTGATAGGAATATCTGAAACCTGGATATCTTCTCAGTTCTCGGATCAAGAGTTAGCATTGCCTGGGATGACTTTGTTCCGCAACGACAGAAAAATAGGAATTGGGGGCGGAGTAGCCATATACATAAGCTCTTGCTTGGAGGTGCACCAGGTTCACAACCTCGAGTTTAACAATCTTGAGGAATCCATATGGTGCTCTGTAAGGTTGTCTAGTACTTCCAGGTGTCTAGTCGGAGTCATTTACAGGAAGCCAACTGCCGACACCGAGTACGATAGTCGTATGCTGGAAGGACTATCCCGCTCTATCCGTCTCGGTTTCACACACATCCTGATTCTAGGGGACTTTAATCTCCCTAGAGTCAACTTCGCGGAACACACGTACACTGGAGGCGACAACTCAACTGAAGCTCGGTTCTTCAACCTCATCGATAACTTGGGCTTATATGAAAATGTGAGGTCGGCAACTCGTTGGAGAAACAGTCAGACACCATCGCGCTTAGACTGTGTATTCACTAACGAAGAATTCCTAGTCGACAACCTCTCAATCCTGGCTCCTCTGGGAAAGAGCGATCATGCCGTCATAGCCTTCAGTTTTGTCATCAAAACTAAGCTAAGGTATCCCAACAATAATTTGCGATGGAATTTTAAACGGCTGAATGTGCGAGCTCTACATGACCATCTACAACAGGTGGTTTGGGATGTTCACCCTCAAATCGATGTGGATGGTCATTGGGACTTCTTGCTGCACACGCTCTTATGTGCTACAGACCATTCAGTTCCTCAAACGGTTCCCAAAAGCTTCAAGCCACCTACAGTAATCAAGAACCGTACCCTTCGCCTCCTAAGCCGCAAACGGCACTGTTGGGCGGAATACAAACGAACTAATAACGATGGAGCGTATAGGCAATACAAACATATCAGGAACACATGCACGAAGGCTATAAGAGAAGACAGGCTTCAGTACCAAACAAAGCTTATGGACAAATTCGCCTCTAACCCTAGAAGCCTATTCCGTTATGCAGCCTCTCTTCGTCAAGCCAAAACAGGAGTTTCTCAACTGCTAGGTCCTAACGGCCCGACCAACAACGATGGCGACGCCGCTAACCTTCTGGCGGCCCATTACTCTCAAACATTTCAACCGGCTGATATCAACTTTACTCATGACAGTTTCATCTGCAATTCCACAGGACTTTCTGAAGTGGACCTAAGCGCTGACTTGGTGTTCCGGAAACTGCAGCACTTAAGACTTGACACTTCTCCTGGCCCGGATATGGTTCATCCTGCCATACTGAGGGAGGCAGCCTCAATCCTGGCAACGCCGCTTAGCGTGATGTTTTCACACTCGCTTAGCCGAGGCAAACTACCGGAAAATTGGAAGTTGGCTCACATCACACCAATTTTCAAAGGTGGTCGACGCAATGAACCTTCAAGTTACCGGCCGGTAGCTCTTCTGTCGTTACCTTCAAAACTCATGGAGTCCCTGATATGCGACGGTTTAAACGACTATCTACTGTCCTTAAATTTCTTCTCACCCCAACAGCATGGTTTCAGGAAGGGTTACTCTTGTATAACCAACCTGCTGACTGCGGTGGACAGATGGACAAGCATCCTCGATCGCAAGGGAAAGGTTGATGTCATTTACCTTGATTTCTCAAAAGCTTTTGATAAGGTTAACCACTTGTGTCTTATCAACAAGCTCAAACGACTAGGTATCAAACCACCTCTAATCGACTGGCTTACTTCATACCTAAAAAATCGACACTTTAAGGTTAGGGTTAATTTCACTTTATCTCAAGCTATGGAATGTCCTAGTGGGGTCCCCCAGGGCTCAGTACTAGGGCCTCTTCTCTTCTTGATCTACATAAATGATCTTCCTCAACAGGTAACGTCAGACTTATTACTTTTTGCCGACGACGTGAAACTTTGGAGAGAGATACGCAACCAAGACGATATACAGGCACTTCAAGAGGATCTGACTCGACTTCAAAGTTGGGCAGACGATAACGGACTTACCTTTAACACTTCTAAGTGTAAAGTAGTCCATCTGCGACATGTCGCAAACTACAGTTACAACTTAGGAAACTCCTCTCTAGTAGTATCCCAAGTCGAAAAAGATTTAGGAGTCCTGGTGCCCCATGACTTAAAGTCTTACGCTAATTGTGACAAAAATGCCTTCCGAGCAAACCTTGCACTGGTAACGTTGAGGCGCATTTTTGGTCAGTTTGACGGAAGAACTTTCCACACAATCTTCAATAGTTTCATCCGTCCCCATTTAGAGTACGGAAACATAGTACTCCCCCCCTCACTCCAAAAGGATAAGGTCACTTTGGAGCGTATCCAACGGCGAGCCACGAAATCAGTTCGAGGACTCAAATCTAAGCCTTACGAAGAACGCCTCCGTTCACTAGACCTTTACCCACTAGAATATAGGCGTCTTAGAGGTGATTTATTAATGGCTTATAGTATTCTTAACACTTCTGGACATCCTCTTAAACACCTACTTAAGCTTAGTTCGAATAATAACCTAAGGGGTAACACCCAGAAACTGGAAACACAACATAGCAAGACGGAATGTAGACACAACTTCTACTCCTTAAGAGTTGTCAAAAGCTGGAACTCGCTGCCGGCCGAGCTAGTCCAAGCGACTTCTCAGGAGTCCTTCAAGAGGCAACTTGACCTATTCTTAAGGACCAAGGACAGCATCGCACTATGATTTACCAATTTCTTTTCCTCTTTTATTGTTAACATACCTAGGTTCCTGCCTGGAGGATTTGGTGATCCCCTGCTACTAGACACGGAAGCCTGTTAAGCGAAAGCTTCTTCTATTCCGTCCACAACCATTTGAACCATTTGAGTATCAATTGAAACTGTTTGTTCATTCCTGAAAGTACTTTTAAACATGAGCGGTACATCAGCTGGAGTTAAGGCCAAAGTAACTATGCTCAGATATGTTTAAATTCAATACTTACAGTCTTATCTACCAAACTCTCTCAATTTTCAAGATCGTGAGATATACAAGATTGGTTTCAATGCTTTAGATTGTATGCGAAGAGACGGAAAACTATGCGATGTCACTTTGATTGTGAGTTGTAACAGTTATTTGTTTGATTATTAGGCGGATAATAATCGCTTCACTGCACACAAGATTGTATTGGCCGCCACTATACCATTCTTCAATGGAATGTTTCTAAGTAACATGGCAGAATCTACCAAAAGCGAGGTCACCATTCACGGAGTTGACGCTTGGTAATTTATTTATCTCTTATTAGTATCCAGTGCTTTAGAAGCGTTCATTGGTTATGCTTATACTGGCTTAGTTCAAATCAACCCTCGTAATGTTCAATCAATCTTAGTCGGTGCCAATTTTTTGCAGCTTAATAATGTTCGTAACATCTGTTGCAGATATATCAGTGAAAGGTGAGTTTATAAGGGTGTAATCAATAAATATGAGCAGAAATAGAGTCTTAAACGTTGTCCATCGATAGATAAGTATTTTACACTTTGGGCTTAGCTTGTTAGACTGCTCGACCTAACTACCAACTAGTGAATTTTCGCACATTAATTTTTTCTCATCGGAGGAAATATTGCATGGCATTTCGATGACTTTCTAAAATTCATGTTGATTCTTAAAGGTCATTTCTGAGAGTCGGAGAATTGATCTTTTTTAATAATATATTTTAAAGTGGTAATCTCAAACACTTCTGCTGCAACCACTTTTCTTGCAATGTAGTCGGGCTTTATGGTGGAAAATGTACAGTTTATTGATGTAAAGGAAAGCCAGTAGAACCACTTATTTTCGTCTCATGTTAAAGTTCTTAAATGGGCTAAACAATGTAAACATTACTATACGAAGATTTATGAAAGAATAATATGGTTGTTCATTGGATGTGTGTGTCATATCTGTGAAGTCTAGTTAAACTTAATAATTGTGAAGGTTCGGTGACAGTTAGGGCAGAAACTTCTGATAAATGTACTGAACTAAACACGGTTGTCATAATATTGATAGCAATAAAAAGTGCTTACATTCACTGTTGAATGATTTGCTAGTTCTAGTTTGTCCTCCAACTGAATGTTCAAGTCCCCTAATTTGTTATTCAGTCTCCCGCTTGTCTATTTTGACCTGTTTTTTACTCTGCTATTATTCTTTGCTGTTAGTTTGCTTACATTTTTCTGATGTCTTGTCTCTGTGCTAATGTGGAGTTTGGTAGCTTCGATCGATATATATTTATACCAGGTCCTAAGTTATCTTCGTTTGATTAACCAGTATATAATATCGATGTAAACGGTTTTAAAGTGTACATCTTGCTTGGTAAAAGAGATTAGATGTCTGTTATATTAGTTATTGTGACGGCGTTTTTTGCCGATGCATTTTATAGTAACCGTTCTCTAAGATTTCATAATTAAGATATTTCCGAATTAAACGTGTTTCACATCTTGAGACCACTAATTCACAGTAGTTTTTGTATGTTTGTGCGTCGTATATTATTAGAAGAAAGGGTTCCTGACCTCAAGTCTGATGTAATTTTTTACTGCACTGACCTCTTGTGCTCTCTTTTCATAGAGTTCAGTGATGTTGTTTGGATGTTTTTTTTTCACAGATTGACTGTCGACATAGTCTTACCGATAAGAAATCTCGCCCAAAGCTATCTATGTACAGACTTGGTATCTGCTTGTGAGGCATATATCTACAAAAATTTCGAAGATATCGCACGCACAACTTCATTTTTTAACCTTGAAGGATGCGAATTGATGGAATTACTGGAGTCAGATGAACTGAATGTCAGCAGTGAAGAACGCTTGTTTCATATAATTATGTCTTGGGTTGAATTTGAAACAAAATCCAATTCTGATACTGAGACGAACTCTGTTATATCAGAGTCTGTTAACGTAATTGAGCTACCTGAATATTATGATAGTAATGTGCATTCGATAAAACCATCTGTTTCAAGTGAGATTGGTCATCGAAATTCGTGTTGTAATGGTTCTTTACGTTCTACACATCATTTTCATAGTTGTCATTGTTCTACACAAATATTCAATAGCAAACCCCGCACTGACTTTCTTCCATGCCTTCTTAGGCGAATCAGACTACCTCTAATTCCAGTTAGCTACATTTTCTCAGTTATTTCGCGGCATGATCTTATTCGAAAGGACATTCGTTGTAGGTAAGTTATTCTATAGACAAAAATGTTTCAAATAATAATAAAGTTATATCAAGTAGTTACGTTAATAGTCATGTGTTTACGAATTGATTCTTAATTCCTTTCTAAAAACTAAAAATACTAAGCTGCCCAAATTGTATCATCTGGAATCGCATTTAAGCATATGAAACTTGGTAGATGAATATTGGGTGATTAATCCATTACTTCACTTCAGCTTGAATACATCGGATATTTGCTGGGAAATTTCTTCGATCCGTATATTAATGTGTTTATTCCCAATGAATTGTAAACTAGCTACTTAAAAATCTCAAAAGCCTAACGGCTTTAAGCTCTGGATGAAAAACCGGTGCATAATTGTGATAGTGTCGATACTTTGAATCTCAGACATTTGAAGTTAATTGAGGTCCCATATTCCTAAAATCATAAAGTTGTGAGTCTTCATAGACGTTGATAGTTAGGACATACGTTGTACATGCCCAGCCACTACTTACTACTACATCGTGTCCTAACCAGTACTCAAGTAATAGAAAAAGACGATTAGTGGCCAGACCGAGATATTTCATCTGGTTTTAAAGTTTCTGACTTTTAAATCAACCCATTTTAGAGGTGCAAGCTTCTTACTTGAAGATTGTTTGTGTTTTGGGAGCTTTCAATGAGTGATAAGACTAAATTTTCTATTATTAAAGTAAGTGTATTGAGTACTAATCTATAGATAAATTACAATGATATGGTATGGTTGAGTGGTGGCTGCTCACGATTCTGTATTATTGATCCAAGCCTCCCGAATGATTACAAATCACAAACAGAATCATTGGCTGGAAGATTGGGTTTTCAAAGAGATGAAGTAACATTTTTATGTACAAAGTACTAACACAAAATAAACATAATAAAATGTTATAGGTGATCGGATGAAGTCAACTTGTAGGTCGTTAATTCTCCAGTCAAGTAAGACCTGACTGTTAGAATAGATCTGTGGCCATTATATAACATGATAGTTACAACTACTGGTTGGAGACATTAGATGACCTAGGTCAAAATCAGTCGTAGAGTCAACGATACTCACTTTCATTAGACATTGTTGGTTTTGAATTATATATTGATTTGTTTTTCTCGATATTTTAACTGCTCGTATCTCTGCAACTCCGCTGTTTATCTTTTTAACTTGTTACCGTTTCAACGTTAAATATATCGACTTGTACATGTGTACATCTGTTTCCAGATATAGCGTTCAATACTGACCATCAATATCTTATGAAACTATATTTAAACAGTGAAAATAATTGAATCATTTCAGAAATTTCTGAACACTAGTTTCAATCAGGTTTTGTCTTTGCTACACTAGTGACAAGTTTTTTTTCTTATTTAGACTTTTTTAAACTTTACTTTTGCAGAGATATTCTAGATGAAGTACGTGATGTACTTCTTATGTCATGGAAGACGTCGGAATTCTTTAATTGTCGACCTAGAAAATGTCAAGATATTTTCGGTGTTATTTATGCTGTTGGTGGTTGGAATACAGATCTGGAATGTCATGGGATTGTGGAAACTTATCATCCTTCACTTGGTCGTTGGGAATTATCAGAAAGTATGATATCTAAGCGTAGTCGTATTGGTGTGGTTGCTTTGAATGGTAAGCTTAAATACCGAGTTTTTTATACTGAATAGTTAAATAATAGAAAGAAGTCCTTGAACCTAAATTTTGACGTTGTTATCACTGCAAATTATATATCCATAATCTTGATAATCCTTATACTCTTTGAAACTTCAACCTTAGGTGTTCAACTTCAAATGTAGCATAAAAGCGTAACTTAATAGCTTATTAGATTATATGGCGAACTACAAGCCACATGTTTTATGTGAAAATTTTCAGTCAAAACATTTGTAATCGGAACACTGTGGGAAACTTCAGAATACTCATTGAAATTCAAGTCCTTCAACAGATAAGCGACAGCCATATAATACCAACCTATCCGTTTACATTTAGTAAAAGGGATGCCCTTTTTGTTTGATTTTTATTTAATTACCAAGACACTTAGCAAATATATGTGTAGTTGAAATCTGATTGCCAGAATCCTTCTCCCCTTATGTAGAAATTAAAGTTGCGATCTCTCCATATCTGTAATCTGAAGCATTTTAGGCTAAAAATCCTTAAAACATTTTAATTGGACAAATAATCATAGCTATCGAACCTACATCTATAAAAGCGGGATATCTTCATAATTAAATTGTTTTTCATTCATGTTTAAGTCATTCGGTTCGTAATATCATCAGTCCCACCTACACTAGTATGTGTTCTCTGCTTTATGTATCTATTAAAATTCATTGTCTCTCCCTTAGCAATTTAACTGATCTTCTTTTAGTTTGAATACTTAAGAAATTAGTCGAAAGATTAAGTTTTTGAATGGTTAGATTTCAAATGTTAATGACATCTGATAATCATATGAGTGTACAAATGTAGGAAGCCATACCATTCGGGTTCATGTGTTGCAGTGGTTTCTTTATTATTTTTTATTTTATTTTAACACCTAGGTATTGGTACAACGAGGCACCAGATACATATGCGCCACACAAATCTCATTCGATATGTGTGAGGGCTGTGATACTGCTGGGGTACCCAAACCGAAGCAGGTGGTTTTCTTAGGGGGCCACCTGAGCCTTCGACCTGAAGGTCTGATCCACAAGGCAGTGGAGCATCGTGAGGAGATGCAGTCCCATGGAAGCCGGTGACCAACGAATGGTTCATACGCCATTTGTTCCCGCAGGATACTGGAGCCCATATGCACCATTGGTTTGGAATCCGGTTAAAGCGTCGGACATTCGCTTTTCGTCCTCTCATTCTCGTAAACAACACCCCCACCACGAGAAGACAGTGAGTAGGACTTCCCTGGCAGAGGCTATATACGCGTGGCTATGTGAGAGCATTTCGAGGAGGAGAGCGGACTCTCCCCACTCTCGGCCGTACCAGGGCATTTGGGGGCAGTGGTTTCATGCAATAATGAATAAATCTTGTAATTACTTACAATAGAATTCGATGTATTAGTACCCTTTTTCAGTTAGACATGGTCCAGATGAGAAAAGAATTAAGAACAGATGTCGTTTCCCGGTTGCCTGCACCTCGAAAGGAAATTTATTCTTGAGGATCTGTGTTGAAGTCTGTAGGAGGGAACAGCGATTAGTGTAACAGCTGTTGAATCCATATGGGTAAATTATGCATTTCTCCAAATTTCTAAGTAAATAGTAATTCAGATCTGTCACTAATGCTTGAGTTCTTGAAGTATCTAAATCGCTGATCTGCTGCTTTTCCATAAAGCAGTATATAAAATGTTTTTTAGGATTATAATTAAAGAGCAATTGTTGTCTTTTACTTATTTCTAGGACTGTTATACGCTATTGGAGGTTTCGATGGAAATTCTCGCTTACGTACAACTGAAGTATATAATCCAAAAACTGGAAAATGGGCAACCGTTGCTTCAATGATTTGTCGACGTAGTGCTGCCGGAGCTGCTGCTTATGATGGATGTTTGTATGTTTGCGGTGGTTTTGATGGTCAAACATCTTTACGTACATGTGAGATGTATATTCCAGAACAAGATACGTAAGCAGTTTTTTAAAAAAAAATAAAAATAAAATCTCAGGATTTAAACTTAATTATAAGTATATTTGATCAAGTTGAAGTAATTACATTAATCATGATATTCAAACTTGTTATCTATACTGAAGAGCTGTGAGGAGGTGGCTAAATAGTTATGGTGTTCAACGTTCGGCCACTAAATCACAGGTTTGAATCCCAGCTTTGTGACTTTACAAAAATATTAGTAGACTGGTTTTTACTGTAACCGACTCAGCCTAAAACAGAACCATGGAGATTAACTGTTTAACATGCAAACTAAAAATATAATAATCAATGATAATGGATATTGTTCGGTAGTACATTGATTAGTAGGAGTCCTTACGAGCCGAAACTTAGTATTTATCAGTATTTGTTAGGTTAGACATTCAGTTTTTAAGGAATTCAACCTTAGTAGCATTAAGTACTTTAAAACTGTAATTTATTTACTATCCAGCCAATGCTTTGCATAAAATAGTCTCATTTATATTATGACGTTAATTCTTGAAGCTTTTTATTTGATTGGTTTATTTTCTTTAGATGGAAGTTAATATCAAGCTTGAATGAACCCAGATCCGCTGGTGGTCTTGTCGCTCTCAATGGTCGTCTTTATGCTATTGGTGGACACAATGGTTTAGCTGTTTTTTCAACAGTAGAATGCTATGAAAAAGGTGGAGATTTACCTAAAACACTTTCACCATCCTCTCGTTTTGAAACTGATCATCAGAATAGTGGTATTCGGCAAAGTCCTATTAATGTATGGTATTCAGTAGCTAACATGTTACATCGGCGATGTCGACATGGCGCAACTGCGTTTCGTGATCGTATAATTGTTGCCGGTGGTTATGATGGTGCTTCATTTCTACAAAGTGTTGAAATGTTCGATCCTACAACTGGTCCAGATCGTAATGGTTTACATGGACAATGGACTGAAATTTCATCTTTGTCAGTCCCTCGTTCTCGAGTCGGATTGGCTGTAACTGCAGGTTGTTTGTATGCAATAGGTGAGTCATGTCTTTTCGATGGCTTGAGTATAATATCATAGCTGGTGATACGTTGTTGCTGTTGGTGACAACGTATGTGAGTGTAAGCGACTTTTAGTTCATATGTGCTCCGATCTATGATTCAGTAGTTAGGCAGTTGACTTTCAGTCATTTACATCATCATTCAAGTAGCAGTACCACGCATTAAGTTATACTCAAAAGTGAGTGCGTATACCTGTTCATGGTTATCAAATTATTGGTTAATATCAATGATGAAACACCATTGAAATAGTTTCTTTTTTTTGTGGCCAACGTATTACTGTTCGTTATTTTAACGTGTTGGATGTGTTTACAGTTGTAGAAAATTGTCTTCATATGGTAGAAAATTATTTACTTCATGGGATGTTACCCAGTCATTGATGAGTCATAAACATAGAAGTAGGATTCGGGGCAAATAGGGATGGGTACGGGTTATTTAATTTCATATTAAAATATCGAGAAGAGAAATCAATGCAATGAAAAAGGGAAGATCAAAGTAAAATATCGATTGTGGTGAAATAAGTGAATGTTAAAAAGTATATTTCAAAATAAGCAAATGAAATCAAGGAATAAAACAGTGTATGATATACGCAAAAGCTAGCAGAAGTAAAAATTTTTCTAACTTCATACTTTTTCTTTTCCAGTAAACGGGGAAATTCAATAGCTTACATCATAAACTGACATTAATTAGACAATTTTTGAGAACGAGTAAATAGTGGACGACTGTCTCATCCTAGTATGAGACATTTCAATAGTAAACACCCACAACCTTATCAAAGATATAACCTAGGTCCTTCAGGTCTTGCTGTTGGATCTTAACATTTAGATTAGTGCGTCAGCATCTAGTGGTCTACATGTCTTTGAATTCAATCCCTGGTGGGGACATAGATGTTCACTGTTGTAGAATGCCATACTAGCTTAAAACAAATGTCCAGCTTTTATCGGTTCTCAATCATTACGTAACTAATATCGATCCTTGATGTAAACCATAAAATCCAATAATCTCGACAAACTCTATGGTAAAATGAAAGAAGTTTGTTGTTTATAGTTATTCCCAAGTCCCCATTATCAATTTTTATAACTCTGTCGGAATAAACAAATATTCATTTTAATCATCTGTGGTAAAATTTCATTATATATTGTGTGCTTTACCTATTCAACTTTTAACTAACTGAATCATGACGATGAGTCTATTCATCAATTTGTTATTTATCTTATGAGCCACTAATTTATCTAGAATATTTTAATAAAAGTCAATAAAATAGTTTCATTTTAATCAAAAGACTTTTTTCTACTTAGGTGGTTATGATGGTAGTACTCATCTACGAACAGTTGAATGTTTCAAATCTCCTATTAAACAAAATCCCTATGAATTATCAAGTACTGTTTTACAATCAAAATTTAATACACTATCTAATTTATTGAACAAACCTAAGATTTCTGATAATTGTAGCGATCATGTTGATGGTGATGATGACGATAATAATGATGATGGCGTTTCCTGTAATCATCATTCATGTTCTATGCAATCTGATTTTGAGTCTATTTCTTCATGCAACTCAACTGAAGCGGTTACATTTGTTAGAACAACACAAAATGGGGTAAAAGTTGCTTAAATTTTTTGTAAATACAATTTAATTATTTGTTTTGTTGGTATTGTTGAAATCAGTGCTTCCAGGTTTTCAATGGTGGTCTAACATTGGTCGGTTCATAATTCAAATGAAACTCAGCAATCTCCGCAAACCTATACAACTTAGCTATTGAGCTTTTTTGGTGAAAATTTGGGAAAATCCAGAAAGTGCATAACATGTTAAATGATGTTCATCGAGATAACTCTTTAAAAAATTCTCTTTCCAAACAGGCTAAGGGTTTCAGTAAGGGACCTAAAGAATGCAAAGATAATACGACTCGAGAACGAATTGTCGATAAAAAACACTGCTTATGGCTTTCTGTGTTTTTGATCGCTGGATAGTTCGTTAACTAACGGATTTCGGAAAAATTGCATGTTCGCGCAAACCTAGCAAGAAGGTCAGTCTGTCAGTAACAACGTAGAACTTCGTACGTACGTACATCAGTTCGAGTTGCCATACCACATTAGCACACAGATACGATTGTCGATTCAAATCCCATAGTGGTAGACGTAGTAAGAGTATAAGCAGTAATCGTAAACTTTAGGGTTTGAAGATATTATTCAAGGAGTATAATCCAGCGAAATAAATTTAGAAAGAGAAAAAAAGGGACATGAAGGATTCAGAAGATTAGAATTTGAGAGAACACAAAGAGTGGATGCACCTGCGCCATTGCAAACGATTTTGAGCCATGTCATTCAAGATCTCTAACCATCGGTTGCTATCATCTCGCGATCCCAATCAGGTAGTCTACACTTACTAACATGGCTCAGTCCACTTGTCAGTGACTTCATGGATTTGTGCCATGTTTTGGTCTAGCCTAGCTAGAAGGTAGAATGATGAAGCTTATGATTATGAGGACTTCAATGGTTGTTTTGTGAAGCAGAAACCGAGATGACAGGGAAACTTTAATTATGAAAGTGAGAAGTATTTCGAAGGGTATAAAATTGATGTGCCTTTGATCTTGTAAAATGAAAACTTTTTGACTTCAGTTAGTGTACTCATTTGTTTGCGTTTCCAGGCTTGAAAGAAGCCATGCCAAATATAAGGTCTCCAACTACTGGTTTGATTACTTGGTGGAACATAACTAGAAACTTTGTCTCAGAAAGACTCAATTCATTACTCATTAACTTTATAGACTATAGCCATATTATTCTATTTTCATGCTGACAAACATTACGTGATGCTAGTATACCACATATTTCAGCCATCATAGTCCATGAAAATTCACAACCCTATCAAAAATTTTCCCACTTATTTTTATTTTGTAATTATCTTCATACACACAGATAAACATAAGAGAAGTGCTTGAATTTATTGTTTTATAGGTTTTATGACAGTGTTTTTTATTGAAAGGCGTACTAAACAAGTACATCAACCTTGCTCTCAAATGCCCTGGTACGGTCGAGAATGGGGAGAGTCCGCTCTCCTTCTCGAAATGCTTTCACATTTCCACGCGTATATATCCTCTGCCAGGGAAGTCCTACTCACTACATCCTCGTGGCTGGAATGCTGTTTACGAAAGCGAGAGAACGAGAAGAGAATGTCCGGCGCTTTGACCGGGTTGGTGGACACGGAGAGTCAACTTAGGGGAGTTGGAAAACCCTGATTCCAAACCAATGGTGCACATGGGCTGTAGTACACTGAGGGAACAAATGGCGTATGAACCAATTGTTGGTCACCGGCTACCATGGGACTGCATCTCAGGACTAGTTTGCATCAACTTCTGAATCGATAATAGAGTGAAGTAGTCGAGCATGTCGACTAATTCACTTTAGGAGTTGTAGTGGCTAGTCCTATGTCGATCACACATAGCTTATTCTAGCTTCTGGATAAAACAACGTATCCATCCTCATCAGGCTACCTTTTGACCTTGTTAATTATTCGCCTGTCAACCTTGACTATTTTTATATAAGCGTATGTGTGTGCATTTTCTATCTTACTCATCACATGTATGTAGCTTATTTTTTTCTGACTATAAATATTGATAAATGCTTGATTAAATTGAGTTGGCTCACTTGCCTTCTCCAATATGCTCCGCTTGCTTTGATTGTTTGTTCAGACCAACGAGTGTAGAAAATATACGCATTCGAAAATCCATTCCCGTATTTGGTTTATTTAATCCCTTTATTTACTAACGCGGATTGAGTCGATAATTATAGACAAGAATCGACGATATGTATATTTCGATAGCAATCATTCATACGAACCGGAGTCATATTAAGGGCCACTAAAGAGTATCATCAGTCCTGATAGTCTTCAACTTTGAAGAAATCTCAGCACGGATTCAAAAGGCTCGATCGGCACTTACCAACTTGAATCAATTGTGGTGTATGCAGGATATTTATCAAATCAAAAGTGAGTATACTAAGCTGCAGTTCGCCACGCTTTTTTTTATGGCTGTGAAATGTGGCTTTAAAAATGCAGGAAATTCACAGGTTCAATCATAGATGCCTTGCTCGTGTATTTCGGTACAATTGAGTTAGCAATTCTGAGGTTAGATGCAGAGTAATAGATAAGAGTGACAAATCGATTGATGAGTTAGCGAAAACTCATTAGCCAAGGTAGTTAGGAAATGTGTCATGTATGCTCAAACACCGGTCAACCCAACGGACGATGTTTTGTAGTGCAAATGATGTTTGAAAGTTAACAATGCTTGGGTAACCTTTGGCTTTATATCATGGCTCTCATGTATATCAAAGCCACCATATGATCACTGTTAGCCCTGTATCTAAATCCAGTTGGATCATGTGGTGATCGTTATCGGAATATACATGCCAGCTATATAATTCTCGACTCAGTTTGCGTTAGAGAATAGCGGAACAAAATAAGTCAAATACGAGAATGAGGTTTGAATACGAATGTTCCGTACACTTATTTATCATCTGCACAGGCAATCAGGTAAACGAAGTGAAGAGAATACAGCGAAGCGAGACAAAATGACACGCAGTGGAGAAATCGAGTCAACTCAATATAACCAAGCCTCACTCAATATTTAGACCAAAAATAAGTTACAGGCATGTAATTAATAGCGTAAGCAATAAACACACATACGATCAAATAAAAAGTAGTCGGGATTAATAAGAGTATTGGTGACAATCTCAAGATGTGGCTTGAGAAGAATAAATAGATTGATCTGTCCAGAAGGTAGGATAACCTGTTTGGGCTTAACATAGTACCAGCCACTACAATCATTCGCCAGGTTCGAACATTACGCTCCACCTACTTTTTTCAGCAACCGAATAGTATCATTAACAACAAAACCTAGAGTTTAGCTCATCATAGCTAAGTTACTTGGGGAATGAATTTAAAAGGTACCATTTTCATGTAACGGAGACTGCTTTGTGTATTATAGTTGTTATTTTTTTAATGTTTAACGTACCTAGTTGTTTCCCACATATTGTATCTTATCCCCTTGCGGATTTTCTTTAACTCTTTCCTCCCTCCTCCAGAAAACTATGATGTTAGAAAAGTTAAAACCTAAGCCAATTAGTCATCAACCATCTATTCCATCCGCTTCAGTTAATATCAATTGTAATGGTGGTACTTCCACATTATCTTCTGTCATCCCATCTTCTTCTAATCCTTTCGCTGATTGGCAATGGTCATCTGGACCTTCATTAATTGCACATGAGGGATGGGTTGGTATATGTGTCCTCCCTTTTGACCAATCTTCTTCAGTCCATTAATTTCACATATTCGTAACATTATTATCAGTGTAGAAAACATAACTCTGCTTTGTTTTACAAATATGTAAATCCGTCGTTTTTTTTCATTTTGGTGGAAAAAAGATGTTTCACGTTCCATAACTGTTCTGTTGAAGTTAATATTTCAATTGCATACTGTATATACCTTATTTATTAATCTATTTATTATGCGGAGACACATTTGTACTGATAATCTGTCGTTACATGTGACTATGTAACTAATTGATATATTTCTGTTTCGTTTGTATAGATTGTTTTCTGACATTAATTTATACTTATACTCATTTATATTCTCTAGCTTTCTTTCATGTGTATATGATTTCAGTTAAATATTTTATTATCTCTATGTAAATATCCTTATCGTATCTTTTTTTGTAGATTTTGCATTTCTCACTTTCTTTTTTTTGTTGTCTTACACGATGGTTCAATTATGTGCATTTGTTTCTTACTACGATAATTGAATCCCCTTTTTTTAAATATAAAAATAAAAACATCTTTATGATGACAATTGTTTCTTAAACAGAAATGTCTGCAATTGGTTGAATATTAAAAAAGAACTTGATAAAATTATATTGATTTTGCACAATCAAATTGATTTACGTTTCCCCCATCTCCCTGATCGTTGTTATTTTATATTGAAACCTGTTATTATCCTGGGTTTTTTTGAAACTAGTTTAGCAACTAAAATATATATATTTCCAAAAATGTGTAGCGATTTTTGGTTTACGGTCAATATTTGTTGCCCATTAGTTTTAATGAACTAAATTGGTTAGGTTAGAATGAATATTTATGTTATTTGAGATTTGTCTGTGCTAGACTGTATTATTTGTACATCATTATTTGTTTATTTGAACACATAAATATTGGTAAAACGGGGCACCAAATGTATATACGCCATACAAAACAATGAGAGTGGGAAGTGAAAAAAGAAGGTAAGGTGCGTATAAGAAAAGAAGAACAATAACGACTACAGACTAGTGTAAGGTAGTGTAATAATGGTAATAATAATAATAATAATGGGGGAAACAGAAAAGTACAACCAGAAGAATTCTTTCAGTTAAGGAAGACATTGGCTTCAATTCTGAGCCATATCTGCTAACGTCTCTAGCCACTATGTTGCACTATTTTTAGGATCCTAACCAAAGAGTCGTGAAGGACCAACAGAAGTCAGCCCTTTGCAGCTTTTTTTGATACCACGACACCATGTCATACACTGACCAACTCTCCGCTTTTTCTAACCAGTCCCAGAGTCGGCAAATGATGCACGACGTGGAATTCTCTGGGACGACGTTCGTAGAACATGTCCGAGCCACCGAAGTCGGTGTTTCAAGATGGTGACACCAATTGCATTATCATCTCTGTGTCCGAACACATGATATTGAACCTCTTCATTACTAACATGGTGTTGCCACTGAATGTCAGCAATCCTTCGGAGACAGCGATGATCGAACACAGAGAGTCGTCTAAAATCCTCAACTCTGAGAGGAAAAGTTTCACAAGCATAGAGCAAAACTGTTCTCACCGACGTGTTGTTGATCCGACATTTTACGGCCAGACTAACATCGCGAACGCGCCAAAGATGGCCCAGATTGGCATAAGCCGCTCTGGCTTTCATTATACGTGCATTGATCTCATCACTCACACCCCCACCAGCACTTATGCAGCTACCCAGATACACTAACCTCTCGACTACTTCTATCTGCTCACCATCCAGGGTGAGTACAGGACTAGAATCCTGCTAGTCTTGTAGAAGTACTTTGCACTTCAAAGGTGCAAAGCACATACCGTATCTACGGACACTGATTGCCAACTGATTAAGTGTGGATTGAATAGCTTGGGTATCGTCGCACAGTAAGAAAATATCATCCACATACTCAAGGTCGAGGAGTCTCTCTTCAGGCAACAGATCCACATTACCATTACCTACACCCATCAGAGCTGTTTCCAGAACGTTGTTGATGGGGAAGTTGGAGAGGAATGGTGGGATTAGGCAACACTGGATAACCTCATCGCTTGAATGGAACAATGGAGAGAGGTGGTTGTATTCCCTCACTTTTCCTGGGGTGTTAGTATATAGTGCTTTCAAAATGTTGAAAAACCTCTCAGACACACCTTTCTTCAATAGACAATCCCAGAGAACAGTTCTGTTCAACGTCAAGATACACTACGATTGTTGGCCTTTGATAAGTATGGCGGTATTCTAACATTTGGTGAAGGGTGAAGATATGATCAATACATGCTCAACCAGAACAAAAACCAGCCTGCTGCTCGCGAGTCAATCTTTCTCGAGTTTTGAACAACCTACGAAGTTTGACAGAAGCCAACAGTTTGGACGCAATCGGAAGTAGACTTACCCCTCGATAGTTGTTACAGGAACGACGTGAACCCTTTTTAAGATAGGAACAACTATCGACTCATTTCATGGAGTTGGTACACTCTCTAGTTCCCAGACCTTTGTAAACAACGTTGTCAGTTCCTTAGCAAGAAAGTTGCCACCATCTTTAAAAAGAGCCGGAGGTAAGTCGTCTGGGCCAGGTGATTTGTAGCGCTTCAAGAGTTGGGGTTCCTTGCGGACTTCCGCCTCATTCGGTGGATCAGTCGTCACTGGCCATGGAGGGCAGGACAGTCTGACCGATGTTGCCGGAGCAGCAGGCCAGTTCAACTGCCCTTCGAAAAATTCTGCCCATCGTCCAAGACGTCGATGGATTTTAGTGATTGGCTTTCCGTCATCCTTACAGATTGTTTCACTCACACCAGACTTCTTGATGCCAGTGGCTCGGATGAGTTGGAAAAGCTTCCGGTAATTACCAGATGCAGCTGCTGCTTCCAGCTTATTAGCACGCTTCGACCACCAGGCTTCTCGGTCCTTACGCAATCTTTGCTCGATTTCATTACGTAACAGCCTTCGTTTGTGTTCAAACTCACGGTCACCCGGAGTAGACCGACGGGCTTCAATGAGTTGCAAGGAACCTGCAGAAACCCAGTGCTTATAAGCGGGACGTTTCGCGAACCCACAACTGATTGTACCCGCCATTTTCATGGCGCCATGAAGTTGCATTCAATGCTCATCTATACTTTTTGGTGAAATGATAGCTAGCCTAGATGCTAGCTCGGTTCGATACTTACTTGCAACAGAAGTTGCAACCAACTTGCCGACATCAATCCTTTGGTGGAGGTCACTTCGTTGTCCACCGAGAAGTAAGGCGACGTCGGCGCAGACCAGGGCATGATCAGAGTTCAAATAGGAACTTTAGAAGAAGTGGCAGTCTTGTGCACAACCACACCAGAGGTAGCTGACCGCGATGTGATCAATCTGAGTCCAGGCTTGAGATGCAGAGGAAGGACGCCAGGTGGCACATCGGCGATGACTGTGCCGAAAGTTAGTGCTAGCCAGAAACAGGTTGTGGTCTGTGCACGGTTGCAGTAGATGGTCCCCGTTATCTGACCTGCGACCAACAAGTCCCCGTCGACCACCTAAACGACTCTCTTCTGTGCCTAGACGCCCGACCTGAGAATTCAAGTCTCTGGCTAGTACTACAATATCTGTCGAACGCACTTTCTGTAGAAGAACTGTTAGCTGGTGGTAGAATTCATCCTTGATTGCATCCGGGCTGCAATCTGTCGGGGCATAGGCGGAGATGACGAAAAGACATCGTTTCTCACGCCGATTTCTTCTCACTTTGATGGAACTTTCTAAGCTAATCTAACAGCACATAACCGACTGTTAATGGGGATCCAATCGACTAGTGCTGCCTCAGCTCTAGCGCTTAGTGCAACACGAACGCCAGCAAGACCAGACGAAGATGCCACAGGGTCTCCGGATAAACGCATGTAAAACAAGCTTTTCGAAGCGACAGATGGAGAGCGGATTTGTAGTACTTCACCAGAGTCTTGAATACGGGTCTCGGATAGACAATAAACGTCGATATTAAGACTTTCTAAAGACATATCCAGCCCTATCTGTTGTCCGATCTGCATTAGTGTGTGAACGTTGAAGGCAGCCAGTTTGAATGGTGCACGTGCTTTCAGTATTCGTGTTCGCTGGTAGCATTTAATTTTCGACCAGTCAGTGACTCGAAATCTTTCAGATAGAACAGAGTTTCCACCATGGGCGAGCTGCTGTATAAGTTGAAAAATAAGGATACACAAAATGGGAATAAGAGAGAGTGGATAAGTGACGTAGTTAATAATAATAATAATAATAATAATAATAATAATAATAATGTGATGGTTTTCTAAAGGGGTCACACCCGGAGCCTTTGACCTGAAGGTCTGATCCACAAGACAGTGGAACATCGTAAGGAGATGCAGTCCCGGTGACCAATTATTGGTTCATACGCCATTTATTCCCTCAGTGTACTGGAGTCCATGTGCATTATTAATTTGGAATCAGAGTTTTCCAACTCCCTTAGATAAATTCTCCGTACCCACCAACCAGTTAGAGCGCCGGACATTTGTTTTTCGTCCTCTCAATTCCGTAAACAACAGCCCCGCCACTAGAAGGCAGTGAGTAGAACTTCCATGGCAGAGGATATATACGCGTGGAAATGTGAAAGCATTTCGAGAAAGAGAGCGGGCTCTCTCCTCCTTTATGAAGGTTGAAGGGACAATTTCTAAAACGAATTTTCTGAGGAATCAACACTCGAGTTCTTATCAGAGAATCGGTCTCGTTAAAATAGGTCACCATCAAATAAGAACTTACTGGTAAAACCGTTATTTAAAAATAAATATACAGTAATGTTTGGTGTACGGTTCTATAATCTATAGAGATATCATATCACGAACCTGACAACTTTTTCAAATATAGGGAAATGAAAACGACGAGGTGGTTTTATCCGTGGTGATTTGTTAAAACCAGGATATTTATAAGGTCTTTCTCATTCCCTCATTGTGCTACGACAACTTCATACAACATAATATTAATTAATTGGTGAGTTTATGGAGGACTCAATAACTGGATTTTTCTTTATCTATTTTGGATATCTGTGTGTGGTCCCATGATAAAAAAACGTAATCAACATTTCGTATTTGCCTTCTGATTAATATACCGTTGGGGCGTTATTTAGTGACGGTTATCAAGACGAACTGTATACGAAGCTTAAGGATTATATTGAATACGGACCACCACAGTACACATGAAATCAAAACAACTATTAACCAATATAAAAGTGAGAATCTTCAATGCGAACCTCAAGACAGCCCTTCTGTACTGAGCTGAAACGTGAAGAACTACCATAAACATCTTCTTAAAAGCACAAGTATTCGTAAACATCAGTATTGGGTTGTGGGTATTAATAAGTTCTTTTGATTGAGATCAGAGAATCGATTGATGTTAGACCAACATTGAAAACCTGGAAGCACTGAACGGTCGCTTCGTCCTATAATGGGACTCCTCAGCAGTGTGCATCCCCGATCCCGCACTTGGGAGTCGAAAACAGGAAATTAGCCATTAGCAAATTTTTAGTGTATGAGACTAAACATTGTGTCTGATCATTCCTTGATGCTTCCAACTGTTATCTATTAATGGACTAAAGATATGACCAAAGGAAACATCAAGTCAGATTTAAGACGTAATCCGGACTTGTATTTAATATTGTTAGTATCACTGGTTAGGTAGTTCAATGCATGATGACTTAACGTTTAAACCACTGAACACCAAATTTCATTTGCTTTAGAAACGCCGAGATTCATCGAAATTCTTTGA